TATGAAAAAATAATGCGACGTTGCGGTGCGTTTTCAACGGAAGTGCCAACGTGTCCAGCAGGATGATTAGTGCTTATCTCTCTCTCTCTATGTATAGTATATACTATATACATATATAGTCACTCTATGTGTGTGTGTGTGCACAATGGCATTTTTATTGATAAAAATTATGCACGCTTAAGGACAAAGGGATCTGGCAGCATGTTAGCCAACTTGACTCAGCATAAAATCAGCGAACGACGCTAAAACAAAGGCCAAGAGAAACGGCAGAAAGTGTCACTCGCCTTCATCTTCGTCTTGGTCTTGGTCTGAGTCGGTCTACGTTTACGTCTTCGTCATAATGGCTCAATCAGGCAGGACGTTTTGGCCAACGGTTAACGGTAACGCTGCTGTTGCCATTGTTGACCGACAGCCGCCTGCAAGTTTTTGGCCCAAAAGGATTTTCGCCCGGTCAACGCTCAAAATGTCATCGTGGGACCGTCGGCTGATATTAAACGAATGCTGGACGTGTGTTTGCTTAACTGTTGTTGCCGTCTACATGGTTAACGGTTAACCATTCACTATTGCTTTGATGGGCGCCGACACAAAAGGCCCTGAGAATCGACTGACCGCAGGAGACTCGGAGAAAAGAGTTGCAACAGCCAACGCAGAGCTTCCCACAGACGTTTCACTTATCCTAACTCATATGACATTCACATTTATATTTAAACAACAAATTTTACAAAAACGTTCACATACATACACACAGTGGACCGATCCATAAATATATATTTTTAGCATATATGTACGTATGTAAATATGTACCTATTTATATATTTTTATATTTATGTAACAAAACTGAATATGGCCATTCGAACAAGATCGCCGTCTTGATCGCATTACTGTTGCGTAACGTGATGATTAAGCTACTTACGTTTTGTTATTATGAATACAAATATTTTGGCATTTAAGATTAAAAGGAGCACACGTTTATGTTAGTAGCTGAAATTGCATTATTCAATTGAAATGGGCAAAAAATTACAATAAAAAAACTATGTAATAAAATACCTTGCATTTGAGCAGACATTTAAAAGGGCTGTCATATTGACAGATAATATCCAATACGCAACTGTTGCGTAACTAGTGGATCAAACGTATTGTGCGCTGCATTCATACGTATACGATATAGGAAACGTGAGTGCAACGCTTTTCACATTTAAAGTTACGTAACTGTTTCATGAAATGCGTTATGCAGAGTTACGCAAATCGAATAGCGTAAGCAGTTTCAAATTATACGTAACTGTTTCATGAAATACGTTACGCAAATGCAATAACGTAAGTTCTTCGACTATAGCTCTACTGAAGCAGTGCACACAGACACAATAACTTCATTGACTATTCTGTGCTTGTGTGTAATATTACTCTTTATAATTATTAAAAATATAATACTAACATAATAACTTGGCATAGCATATATGACAATAATAATTTAAGAAATATTTTAACAATAATTTACGAACCGGTTGCACAACTGTTCCGCAATGTCTTGTTAGCCATCAACTTACATATGTATGCACATACATACATATGTATATATGCATGCATATGTGCATGTGCATAATGACGTTCATAATTACATGCATATGTACATACACACATTATGGCGGCCATATTTATGAAGTTGCCACACAGTTTGCTGATATTTGAGTAGGCTTGATCATAAAATTGTGTTGCCAGTGCGGCAAAGAAAACGACGTAAGAACAATAAGTACATATTTTGAATTATTGCAAATTAAATTAATAATTATATTTGATATTCATTATTATATTTGATATTTATTTTATGTTCCAGCTGGATGATCATCAGAGAGCTAAGGATTTAAACCGAACCCTCATTGCAAAACTTGCATCTTGACCAAAACGTGCAGCTGTAAATTGTATTAAAAACGTAATTGAGAACTTTGCCCAAAGGCTATTTAAATTTGTCATGTTCCCTCAAAGGATACTCGGTACTGTGAAAATGTGGCGTGGCCGGCTGACGCCCATTTCGGTTAACGATTATTTGGCATAAAATTGGGCACACAAACTCCGTTAAAAAGTAGAGGAACACAGAGCCAGAGAGAGAGAGAGTGAGAGAGAGGGAGAGTTTCTCAAAAAGGGATTTATCTGCGTAAAGCGTAAAAATGCCGTTAAAACTTATTTGGAATGTGCAACAAAAATGCCAGACCCGCCCATTGCCCTTTGGCCTGTTGACTTAAGATTACGACAAGACAAGATGAGTATGTGTATAGACATGTGTGTGTGTGTGTGTTGGGCTACTTACACTAAGCCGGCTGAGCTGCATAATTTTCCATAAAAAAATAATAGTACAGACGACATGGAACAATCCATTGAAAGATTTCCTCATTTGTTTTGGCTATCTTTATTTATACAGACTATATATGTATATATATAGAAAGAGGGAGAGAGAGTAGAAGAGAATTAGATGGTTAGTTTATTGGCCCTTCTTGATGACATGCGCCAGGTCGTAGACACCGCGCACCGCCTTCAGCTTGACGCCGGGCACATCCTGCAGCCGACCGACGCGACACAGGATAATATTGTGCTCCTGCAGATTGTGTCCAATGCCCGGTATATAGGCGACCATCTCCTTGCCGGTGGACAGACGCACCAGCACGCATTTACGATTGGCCGAATTCGGTTTCTTCGGCTTCTTGATCAGCGTCTTGAGGACCACGCCCTTAGCAAAGGGTTTCCCATCCAGCGGCTGACGCGGCGGACGCGTCTTAATGTGAGGTCCCGTGCGATGCATCTGGTTCAACGAGGCCATCCCGCGCAATGCAGCCGTCAAATAGTTGCTCTGCAGTGCTGCAAAACGATTGAGAAGACAAACAAACTGATTATAGTTCACGCAAGCACAACTGTACTAATTAAGATATGGCCATATAGATAGATATGTATGTGCATGCATAGTAGCCGCAGCATGTGCGGGAGGGCGAACGAACGAGCGGCTTAGAGCATTTGACACAAACGAAAGAATAGACAGAAGAACAGAACAGACAAAAAGGGTCAGACGAACTGTTGGACAGTTGGCCAGTTGGTTAACAATGCCCATTGGCCTTTTGTTGTGGCTAATCTCTGTGAAAATCGCAAAATAATTGTTATGCTACACACACACACATACATACATATATGTATACATGCATGCATGCATGCATTTGTGCAAGGATTCATTCTGCTGCCAATAATAATTGCAGCCAAATGACGCGGCCTTTGGGTCAGCTATCAAGCCTTTTATGATTGAAAGCGTGTGACAGATCGCCAGATCGTCAAACGGGGGTTGCACCAGTGACCAAGAGCAAGAGCGAGAGCTAGATCTCATGTAGCCACAGCTTACTGTACTGTACTCTGTGGACACTCGCTGTGCTCTGCATTCACAAAACAAATCGAAAAGCGGCTACAATTTTTAATTAAATGCCACACACACACAGACACACACACTCACACAGGTATACACCCACAGGTAATAATTACCATAACGCTGGACAACAGCATACAATGGGCGCATGTGTCGCGATCCTCGGCGCACCTGTTTTTGTCCTTTTTATCTTATTGTGTACATGTCATGCAAATTCCTATTGTTAGCCACTGCCATGTCCATGTCGATGCCCTTTGACAGCATGTTATGCGCATTTGTGTGTGAATTTTAATTAAAAACCAAAAATACAAAAAAAGGGAAAATATAAACAAGAGCTAGAGATATCCTGAAACCCAACACGGCTTTCCATTTCAGTCAGCTAGTCCAATTGTGACTATTAAATGTATAAATAGATATGTGGGCCCTTGATCCAATACGATATATACATGTAACTATATTCAAATCCAGATATACCTATATATCATATATATAGTGCATATAACTGTTGGACTGAAACAAACAGACCCCTTATAGAACACTATATTAACCTAATATTTGTTTGTATCACTAATTTAATACATTTAAAATTTTCAGCAATCTAAATCATTGTCAATCAATTTAGACTAACAATATTCAAAACAGAACTCTATGTTAAATAAATATCATAAATATGTAACGAAATTGCTGTACCTTGATCTAGTAAGTCTACTTCATAAATCAGGGCATTTCATCTATCGAAACTAACATCAAATACATATTTACTTATGGTTTATAGTCCAGAAAATGTAGTGACAAGGCTATGAAAACATTTGCCTATGGCTGCATTATTAAAAACCGAGGACACATGTGAAAAGGCCTATAAAAATATTCACAGGCAGGACGAGAACGGGGAAGGCTCGCGGACAGAGCGCGTCACAAGCAAGCCGGCCACGCGCCCTTGCAAAAGAGTTGAGATCGTGGGCAAACAATCTATACAAATCATTTGACACACACGCACACAATGAAAAGCAGGATCGTTGGATAAATAGAGAAAATGCGCACAGTCACTTGACAGGGAAGAGGACCCGTTGATTGGCGACTGCAGGCCTAGTCAAATAAAAGGGAGCATGGACGTGGCGGTGCTTAGACAACTGCAATATGGACAAATACCGGAACATATATAAGTTTCGATTAAGCTTGCGGGCCGAACTTACCCTGGGTCGTCAACTGTTTCGTAACGTTGAATGTTTGGCGCAGGAAATTCATGTTGATTGAGTTCGATGCTAGGCGGTATGCTTAGCTATACGCTTTACCAGCGTTAAAAACAACAATTTAGTGGCTGCTTGTGTTAATATTCACACAACAAAAAGAAAAACAATGATAATCAAACTAAGCAGGAAAATGTAAATTGGAACTAGAAAATGCGGCCTGGTGAACAGCTGTTTGCACAAGTAGCGTTGCCACATAACAAAATGAAGAAGATGGTAAACACATGCACCTATACCGATAGCATAAATGATCGAAATATTCGTTTTTTTTTTTTTTCTTTTTTACCAACTATAAAATTACTGCACATATTTCACAGGTTAGTTTTGGTTAAATCTATAGTGGAAGGGGTTGTTGTCAGTAGACCAGAACTCGGGTTGCGTGTGGACATAATGCGGGGCGGGACGATATCTCCGTGCAACTTGGAGCGCTTTGGCAGAGTTGCAGCGCGTAAGTAGGGATTATCTATATTCGGATTTTCCAAAATGGCTTTATTTGTGGTCGAATTGGGTTTGATCTCCAGCTCGAGCTTCTCCTCCTTAGACTTGTCGCCATCCAGCTCCTCATTTTCGCTGTCACCGTCCTCGCCATCCTCTGGAAGGATTAAGTAAGGATAAGTAAAATGTCAATATATATTTAGATGTCTTGTCGACAAACCTTTAGTAGGAGCATCTTCTGTGCGATTAGCCACCAAGTAGTGATACTCCAGTTCCTCAAAGTCAAATATTTGATCCATGGGATTCAGGGCAGCTGCATATGCCGGAAAAGTGGGCTTACAGGCTATTACTGCAAAATTCAAATAAACGCACATTAAATTAAACAAATTAAGGATTTAGTAGACTTGCTCCACTTACGAGGAAACATATTATCTTCGGTGGGAAAGAGATTGTTTGTTTCCATGGTCTTGCAGAGGAACTTGGTAAGAGCCTTCTCAACGTCTCGCTTCTGACTGGCAGCCTTTTCGCGTATAGCCTCATATTCCGTAACCGGCTGCTTGTGCGTCGGTGTTCGTATGTAGGCATGAGGATCGGGCATAGGTGGCAAATAGCTGGGCACATAGTGAGGATGGGGTGCTTTGTTGCCTGCTTGGAGCAGACTTAACTGGCGTTGCTGAGTTTGCTGTGGCGGCAGAGGAATTGGCGTATGGTTGACACGGCGTGCATACGATTCCAAGCTGCTTATATTGATGCCCATGTTAATTAGAGCCAAGCTGACATCGCCCACAGTGGGCATGGTACGTCCACCTAGCTCACAGTAGCTGTGTGCCGAATTGCCAACTTCAAAAAGAACTATAAAAGCAAATATTTACATACGGAAAATTACAAACTTAAAATTAACTTACGCGCCTGCAGCATTTGGGTCAATGTTTCAAGGCATTGATTGCTGGATATGCTGGCGCCTTTGTCCAACAGCAGCTGGGACACCGCCTTGTTCAGCAAACGGCGGTATGGATTAATGTTGGGTGTTGCAATAGCTTCCATGGCCTTATCCATTATAATGCACTTTGTTTCCTTGTGAAAATGCAACTTGATAGCACCAGATTCAAGTGAAATGGCTGATGTCTTATCGATATAACGATACTTAGTATCGATGCAGTCAAAACAAACGAGTACATTGTTGCAGTAAATTTACTTCCGAAATGCATAGCATTGATAAGGCAGTAACATAGAAAAGAGAGAATAAACAAACTAAAAATTAAAAATGAAATAGTAATTTTAAATCTAAACTTAAAAACAAGTAATACTGCTTCTCTGCATATTTAGCATATTCCCCATGCGCGTATTTGAGCTAGTTCGCTCATTGATTTTATATGTTCTAAACGAACCAGCATGGCAAAGGCTAAGAATAGAATGCGGTCACACTGAGTTTAGTTGATTTTAATTATCCACAGCTGACGGAGTGTGCGGGCGTCGGGCGCTAAACAATATCTGTGTATTTTTTTTTCGTTTGTATTATGTCAACTAACAAAAGTGCAATTGTGTATTAAAAATAGCAACTAGGTTATAATAAAGAAAATAATTAAATGCCATTCGTACGCCTGAGCCGCACAGTGCAAAAGGTACGTAACAAATGTGCAAGCAAATACATATTTATTTATTAATTGAAGTTGGCGCAGCGCCGTTGCCGCTGCCGCTGCCACTGCCAATGTTGTGGTTGTGGTTGTTGTTCCACGCGCAGCAAGCTTCTATGCATTGACTTAAACTTCATTTCCCATCTTGTAAGAATGAACAGCAGCAGTGAATGCTAATAATGTGGAGCTATGTATATATGTATATATGCATGTAAGTGTGATGCTGCCGCCAACGATGCCGAATGCTACTGCGACGCTGCCTCTGCTGATGCTGTTGCTGCTGCCTTTTATTTTCAATTGGGCTCCCTACAATTTGACGCCTAAAAATTTGTGTGTGATTTGTGTGTTGCAGAACGGCCGGCACTAAAAACTCTCAACTCAATCAAATCGTTTCTATTTTTTGTGTTATTCCAATTGCGAAACACGACCCAACATTTTTTCTTTTCACTCAAAACCCGTAATTTTGAGTGCGTGTGTGTATGGCGCAGTGGGTGCGAGCGGGTGAACGGGTAATCGTATATGTATGTTGCTTGTTTATATACACATACATATGTACATATATACAGTCATATGTGCACGCGGGCAAGAGTTAGTTAACGGCTGCTGCTTTTGCTCTTTGTCTGCGTCTATTTATTCGCTTGTATTACATTCTGCTTCTAGCCCTTGTCACGTACTGCAGTTTATTCTTCATTTTTTTGCACTTCAGCCGACACTGATATTTGGCGGCGTCTTTTTTGTGCCGTTCATCTGTAACTTTTTAAAGGTTGTTGCTTGCGTGTTTTGTTTTTGCTTTCTCTCTTTTACAATTTCATTGCGATGACTCAAAGTTCCTAAAGCCGATCTATGAATGAGAGAGTATGCGCGTGTGTGTGTGTGTAACTCCTCTGAGTTATCTGCGATTTTATTATCACCTTGACTCTTAAATCTTATCAACAAATGCAATAAAAACCTACGATCGAGCGCTAGACAGCAGCCACAATGCATTGCTTGTTCTTCTTCTTAATTCGACTTTTGTCTTTGTTTTTCTGTTTTACATGTTTGGCTGGTGAGTCAATGCTCTCGTTGGCTATTGCATCAAATTTCCTACCATGGCTATGATTCCCGTTAAGTCCTTCGACATTTGCAATTATGTCACTATTTGATATTTATTATATACTGCTACTAGCAGTCTGTTACTATGTGCGGCAAAGCAACCTTACACATTAGTCCATATTGATCAAATATAAATACTTATCTATGCATTTAGCTTGTTTTTCCTGTTCGGTCATTATCAATGCGATAAAATACATACGTTTTATATGCTTTCCGAATCACGATTTCCGCTATTTATAGCATGTACCATAAAAATACCATAAATTAACATGTCTATAAGGCGAAGACAGTATGTATATAGAAAGAGCTCACTAGTCAATTGTCTTAGGGAAATCTTAATTGTGATTTATAACTATAATTTTTTTTTTTTTTTTAAGAACTGCAAAACCGCAAACCCCCAAAGAATTTGAACATAAACAAAATTGATAATTGTTTACAATTGCAAATATAGACACAGACGTCTGTCTGACTGAATGTTTATTGGCAACAGGGAATACAATTGCAATTGATTCGCATAAGAAATAAATTATGTTTATTTTGTACTTGATCCTATATGCTTTCTACTTTGCTTATTTAAGCGAATCGATAATAAATATTGAATTGATAGCGACAACAAGGGGAAATCTGAAGCAGCACATTGAAAGTTAAATACTCTTTTTATAACAGGAGATAATGTTATTGTTATCTTATATGTAAAAAGCAGTCGGAGGAGCCCCAAGAAGACCCTATATATCGCTGTTTAGATTGACGAGTTGTTTCAGTCATGTCGGCCTGTCCGACCAAGATCTCGTAAACGACAAAAGCTAGAGACTGGAAATTGTATATGAATAGTCAGTCATGTTTACCATACGCAGCACAAGCTCATCTTTTGATTTTCAATAGTTTATCCCATTGCCATAGGATCGATATTAATGTATACAGAAAAAAGCACACAATGAGTGGTATATTAGGGTTTAGGATATCTACTAGCCAAGCATTCCAGATTGGAGCACTTTTGTCCTTTAAATATGTTAGTGTTTTTGGGTCTAATACACTTGATAACAATTCTTGTTTAAATTTGTCGTTTCTTTTCCTCTTTTATTTTAAGTACGTGCTCTGCGAAGCTTTCACGTATTCTCTGTAAAAAGTTTAATGATATATTAGTAATTGAAATAATGAATAGAATTTCAATATTACATTCAGATATTATATTTATTATATTTTAATATTATATTTACAACGAGTATCTGCTTCGGTCATTTTCATTGCTGACGAATCGGAAGCATTGGGAACAGCTCGATAAGAAAGTCGAGGTGAGCACTTAGCGTGGGTTAGGGTATTTAAAAGTGTGCACTTAAGGCCGATAAACCATTTGTTTATTGTTTTCGTTCTGCTGACCGAATTGCGCCCATGTGTGCGCCCTTCTCTGAGTGTGTGCGTGTGTGTGCGTAAAAGAGAAATTTTAGCGTAAGCACAAAGAAAAGTTATTTGTTTTTTAAATTTTTATTTGAGTATGCGAAAAAAGAGAGCCAGTCGCAAGGTGGAAGCTGCAAAAGGCAACGCTTGTTGCTGTTCGATTCGATTATCGTATGAATCAGAGTTGGGGAAATGCCCGTAAATAAGTAACTGCAAATGCTTTTGAAAAATATGTGAGAGAAGTTGGCCGCGGCTACAGGCTGTATGAGTAATTTGACAGCAGCACAAATACGTATTAAAATCTATCAATTTATATATTGTATATACATATATATAGTGTGTGTGTGTGTGTGTGTGTGTGTATGAGTGTGTATAAACGTAGCTATTTTTGTGTCTATTCACAGAGCTCAGAGCGAACCAGCAGCAGCAGCAGCAGCAGCCTCTGGGGCCAGGATTGATTTAGGGATTTGAGCAACGACAGCCGCCTGGACATGAACAAGGCCGGCAAGCAATTCCAGAGCGTTGGCCCAGCTTTGGGTATTGGTCACGCCTCCAACGGACTGCTGGCGCCCACTGCTGGAGCCACGGTCACAGCGAACGGCTCGGCCACCAGCCCCAAAAATGTGTTCAACTCCATAATGAGCTTCCTGCCGGACAATCGGCCAATCACCTCGCTGCACATTGTCGAGGACTTTGAGCGGTAAGTGAAGCATTCAAATCAATAAATAAGTATTATGAAATGTGTGGTTTGCACTTGCGTATATTTAATCGAACAAATTGGGTCAACTACAGGAAAATATATATACAAATGCAAAACTACAAAATATAAATACGGGCATAACCGACTGCATAATGCTCGCTCGTTAATGGACAATATAGTGTATATACAGTAGAAACCGCTTATAACGTCCGTCGTACGGTTATTGCGACGAAAATTCTGGTCCCCAGACGAACTTATATGAGCAAGCTTATATGGGTTTAGTGTCTTCCGGATATAACGTCGGTCCCTTGAATGTCGCTGTAACCGGATTCCACTGTATTTCTTAAAAGTTCTGAGTTCAATAGATCTGTAACTATTGTATGTATTGTATTGTTATACACTGTTATACAACAGCAATTCAATAGACAACGTTTCAGCTATAAATCTGTGGAATATACACTGTATGTCGACTTTTATGTAGGTCATATGAAACTCGACTGCTCTTCCGGTCAAAGTCAAATTACATATATGTACAATTACGTGTTTTAATAGCTCAAATAGTAGTAACAATGCGGTGCATATGTCCAAAGTTGATGGACCATAGCCTAAATATAATATATATGACAAGGTAAAATAGGTTGGGAAATGATATAGAATTTTTATTATTCAATTATTCCATGTTTTATGATTTACTTTTATCGAATCAGAGATTTTAAACTACACAAACAATACTCATATATCACATATGAGTATATGTGATATATGATATCATATGATACATCATAACCGAGCTAACCTTACACAGTTTTAAGTGTGAACTGAACTAGTTCTTTGAACTACTGCAGCATCGCTGTAAGAATGCATAATTTGAACTCTTGAACCCGTTTTAACTCGCCCATTAAGCGAGCAATTCGTAGCCTCAATTATAATCAATTTATGTCTTTCCTTTCTCTTAGTTGCCCCAAGAACTTTAATGCCATACATCGGACGTACGATCAGGATGCTGACGCAGATCTGTGGCGTGAAAACAATATACTCTTTGGACGCCAAACGACGCGCTATCTGTGCCTATCCAAATCGGAGGGACTGCCCGAATACGTTGTCGAGACACTCAAGTAAGTGGAGTCCTGATCATTGAGAGCACAAGTGTAAAGTTAACGTATTTGATTCCCACTTATAGAGTCATCGCCGAGAAGGTGCCGCCGCCGAAAGAGTTCTCGCTGCTCTCTCGCACCGCAGACACCGATCAGAAGGCGTGGCGGAAGCGTCAAATCGCATACAAATTGTCCAAACGCGGCACCGTCACGCAGGCGGTTACAGATATTATACTCTGCTCCAAGCTGAAAATCGCGCCCGATGGGTTTAAGCTAGCCGGCGATATCAACGGCGTCCTAATCTGTTATAAAACTGGTGCCATTCCCGTGCGCCTGCCCCCGCCTGTGCCAGGCAGCAGCTGCGAGGTGGAGCAGGCACTGAATCGTCTCAATTTGCATGGCCAGCGCACAGCACGTGGCCCGGTGAGTGAACTGATATGGATAGACATTGCTATTGATAGAGGGATAGCACTACGACCTTGCCAGCTGTATATAAGCTATCAGAGCTTTACAAGGACAGGACTTCTAGTTGCCCAGTTGCCTCTAGTTGAATATGGAACTCATTTGAGGATAACTCAACTCTGCAGATGATGCGCTATGGACTCCCTAGGGATTAGGTGCAGAGATTCTAGGGATTGATCCTTGGTTCTTGCTATCTTAGACTTATTTTGTTCTTTAGCCATTCTAGCTCTAGCCCTAGTCGGCGACTCAACTTGATCCTCCTCTACTAAATCTAAATTTCATAACAGACAGATCTAATATAGATATAGACTAAAGATCTTCCTCGAATTTGAACTACATTTAGGCTAGCTTTATGCTAGCTTAGTACTTATTATAAGTTAGACTGTTTAATTAATTATGAAGAGCTTAAAGACTTGGAATGACTCTGGCAAATTGCCTTAAGTTAATTTAGCTGAAGGAAATTAGATCTTTAATAAAACGCTGAATCTTCAGGAAGATTGTGTTAATTTCTTAAGCAATTATTAATGCTGCCAAGGCATTGCCATGAAGTGAAGTGTGATTAGCCAAAGAATAGAAATAGCAAATGAGAGCAATATACCTGTAAATATACCCAACTTAATCTCTATAATCAATTTGATTGAATCGTTTGTAATTTCAGCTGCCGCAGTTGCCAGCCTCGAACGAACATCATGACTATGAGGAGATACAGGCGCATTATCAAATCAATTCGCCACAGAGACCAGCGCCACCACGTCCAGCGTCAATGGGCGGAGGCACAGGAGTTGGAGCAGGGGGAGGAGCAGCAGCTAATGAAAACACTGGGCGCTCTAACTATTTCGGCATTGGCACGCTGGGCACCTATACAGAGCTGGAGGGCGTGCCCTTTGCCATGCATGCGATGCTGCAGCGCAGCCAGCCCATGACTGAAGTAAGTCTTACATATATATATATCTATATTGCATATGTATTTGTGTATTAAATATATTGTTTATTCATCCATTTGATAGTTGCCCACACTGCCCGAAATCTCAACGCTGCTAAAAACGCTTGACTATGACTTTCAGCTGGAACGTCAAATCTTATGCACCATGAAATCCTCGGCATCCAAGAATCCATTCTTCAAGTAGTTCAAAAAGCACCAATAGCAAAAACAAAAATGCGTAAATCTAATTAAATCAAATGTTACAATTGGATAATACTAAAAACGAAATGTACTTAGACTTGTATGTGAAGGAATAGCACGAATATATAGCACTCACATTTGTATAATCAGTTCGATTTCCATTCGGTTCAATTCGATACGACTCGATTGATATGATAATAATAATTATATTTGCTTAAAAAGACCTCAGACCCATATGTGTGTATAGATTCCTGTGCCTTTAATATGTATCTAATTTCATGAATGTGTATGCCTATAAATATACATCCCCATTGTTATATCTGAGTCAAACAAACATGCATACAAACACATATATAAATATCTATATACATACAAATCATACTAATATAAATTAGACCCAGCATTGTGATCGTAAAACGAATGTTTGTCATTATTATTTTTAAATTGAATGCCCGAAATCAATTAATCATGATATATATATATATATATATATATATATATATATATATATATATATGTATATCCAAAAAAAATACCATGTACAACCCTCTGATAAAAATACAAATATAAATACACACATCCATATATAGGTATATATACTTATACATATGATATATATTATTTAATAGCTATAGTTAATGTTAAAGCTGATCAAGTCAAAGCGAATCAAATCAGAAAAAAGTATTGCATACAAACATTATATAATTTGATTTACATATATACATATAATACAATACATAAGCACTGTAAAACCAGTTGGTATTTTAATAACTGTATGATGGTACATACTTAGTTTTTAGAGACGCGTAGACTGTACGAATATATTAAAAGAAAACAAATCAGAGTTTCTTCCCACAAACATCATATGAAAATCACCAATGCAGCTGTTTAAAATTAAATATTTATATCAAAATATACAATATATAAACTATATATATATATATATATATATATATATAGAACAATTGTATTGCATGTTATTTACTCAAGGCAAGACAGCTGATATAGCCTCTCTCTTTGATGCTATCTCTGTTGCGTCTATCTCTCTGTCTCTGTCTGCTCTTTGTAAAGCTGTTCACATGCTGTAGATTGAATTGCAAGTGTATTTGTGTATATTTATAGCAAACATTTTATGCAGTTTATCTTTTCAGGTACTGCAGGCTGACATATTTCATTTAGACGCTTTTATCATTAACTGTTATACTGCCTGGACTCTGTTATACTTGTGGCTCATACATATACATTAACTAGATTCGCGCCATACGTTATGCGTCGATTATTGTGGCAGTACGCTTGATTTTGGATGAATTACAGACTTTGCTAATGTCTCAAGTGTTATACAAAGTGTCCTAATTAAGTCTCAATTGTATTATACTACATCTTTTGCGAAAACCATCTCGCTTAACCCAATCGCTTGTGAATATACATAATATGCAAGTAATTTGTAAGCTTCGAAACTCCATTAAGAAAGAAAAGGGAGAGATAGAGTGAGAGAGAGACAGAGAGAGAGACTCGAAGTTGAATCCACATAAAATTTAACTATATTAACTAAATAAAAATACAAACAGATTTCTAAAAAAAATATTTATCAGCATATATTTATATGTATATATTACGAATATTTACAGTATATAAAATCATTTGTGGAATATTTACAATAATTGTTATACGTTTAACATATTTGGGGTCACGTTAAGCTCAAATTGTCCGGTTAATTGGTTTGTCAGAATATATTATGAAATAGTAAATCCGGCTGGGAGAGCGTCTTCTTCAGATTGCGCACGCTGAGACGCTTTAATCCACGATCGGCCGTGCATCTGTGGTATAGAGTAGAAGCAGTGGGAGCGATGCGGAACAGGGACAGGAGCAGTGATTGGGATTGGAATTGGTTTGGGTTGGTTTGGTTTGCGATTTCGGTTTAGTTAATTAGCAACGTTCGAGTGCGAAGCAACTTTAGGATCGAAAGCATCGAAGAGCCTTGAGCTCCGTGGGGATCTGGGAACTGCGAGGGATACCAATACCAACAACACGAACACCAGCACCACATGTACAAAAGCTTTTTGGGGAGTGAGCTTTGGATTAGGCTTGGCTGCCGCTGGAGGCGCTCCACTTACTCGAATATGCGCGCATGGTACTCGATCATCAGGTTCACGCAATCGGCCAGAGTTTCGCCTTCGCGAAGCAGCTCCTGTATGTCATTCATGTGCACACCCTGTGGCACTGTGTGAAATACCGATGGTGTTATCGATATCGATAGCGTTTCGGCGCTTATTTGCTGCAGCGGGACCTTGGTCAATCTAGGTGAGAGGGAGAGAGAAAGATAACGAGATAGATTAGTTATAATCAAAGATTTCTTTTTCACAAATCACATGTATGGAAGGGTAAGGAAATCTTTATAGGGTATACCTAGGAACACCAGGGGCTTATCTAGGGATTTACTAGCTAATAACTCATAGCGGATATATTTTGTAATATATCAACAATTATTTTATTACTATGCATACCAACAGCTTATCTAGGGAATTACTAGATAAAAACTCATAGTTCATCACTTCTTGTCTATAGCGAAAGTTATTTAATTAAAATCGGGGTAATGGATCACGAGATATTATTTTTACAAAATTTCAAAATTTTCAAACCTATTCAAGTGAGCCGCACTGTATATTTGAGAATGATTCAGAGAGTCTTTGTACCATATACCATATCTGATTATTTTTTCAGTTGCCTAGGCCAATAAGCGTCTAGGAAGAACGTATATGAAGCTATGAAGGTCATTAGAAGGCAAAGTCCACATAGGCTATAACTAGGCTATCCACCTATGTCCACCTAGCACTATATTTACTCAGTGTTTGCATCGAAGCTTAGGAAATGTTAGAAAATACCTATATGGTATATTATCCAAAAATAATATAAGAAATCGAATCGAAAGCTATTTTGTGAACTGAAAGATCTGGGGTTTTGTGGAGCTGATCTAAGGCGTTTCTAGATCTGAACTCACCGATTGAAATGGCCAAAGAGATAGTCCAAGGTATCGCGATTAATCTCCGGCAGTGAGCGCATCAGTCTCTTGAGTATCTCCAGCTTCTGGTTCAGATCGGTGAGCACTGCAAGCGAAGGACAAAAGGGTTAGAGAGAGAGAGAGAGAGGAGATAGATTAAGAGGGGGAGGGGGAGGAGAACTCTTTGCTGCGACTTACGCCACTGATTGGGTGGGCCAATAAACGTTTTGGCCTCGTTGACACTGATCAGGGGGCTCTTGATCTCGCGCAGAAATAGCTTTAGTACGCCGGTGAGTGTGTGTATGTCGACGTTGGGCTGACGCAGTGCATCGTAGTCGTTGGCATCGATGTTGAAGCGCAGCGTTTGGATCTTGTTGTAGTCGCCGCACTGCCGATAGATGCCCTCCACGGGCTGGGCGGAGCGTCGATACTTCTGCTCGATCAGGTCACAGCAGTCGATCACAATGCGCGGCACGGTGCGATGATGCTCGTGCTTGAGCACCAGCTCCAGTTCCGTGTCGAAGCAGGGCTCGTCGAAGAAGATGCGCTGTTCGCGCAGCGTCTCAACGCTGGGCCGGCTCTTCCACCAGTTGGCCAGGTTCATCCAGGCGACCAGCCGGGACGGACGGACAGGTGTGCCGCCCTGGCGTTTGCCAGGTGCTCCTGCTGCCGGTGCAGCTGCAGCGGCTGCTGCCTGTCGCTTCTCCTGCTGCTGCTGATGCTGCTGCAGCTCTGCCAGCTGGCGACTCATCTCGGCCAGCTTCTGCTCCAGCTCCTGGCTGTAGCTCGCCTGCGCCTGCAGATCCTGCTCCAGCGTGTGCATGCGCTGCTTCAGATTCTGCCAGCGCTTGCCGCACACCGAGCAGCACTCGCGGTTGCCGTTGCGCGGACTGCCCGCCGAGGAGTTGCTGGAGGAGCACACGTCCAGGCTGCCATTGGACACGAGCACCGCTGTCGTGCCCGCAGACGACTCGTCCAGCAGCAGCCGTGTCAGGTCTCGCGTGCTGCTGCTCTTCAGCAGCGTCAATTTGTTCGGCTTGGTGCGCAGCTCGCGGAGCAGGACGACGGCCTCCGGGCGGCCAGCGCCGACGGCGAGCCCCGCCTGATCCAGCGTACAGTTCGATCCGGCGCTCCCCTCCAGCCGCAGCAGCGCCGTCGATGTGGAGCTGTGCGCGCGCCCATAGTGCGCCGCCGCCGAGGGCGACGACGACGTGGAGGTCGAACGATCTCGAAAGCAGTTCATCAGTCGCTTGGGCTGGTGCCTCCGCTCGTGGGCCACGTAGCCAGCTGCGCCAATCATCAAGTGCGCCGAGTCCGGTGTTCCGGGCGTCACTGGCCTATTACTTGCCCTTGCCTCCATTGCACTGCCTTATCCGAGCTGCAGTTCGACTTCGACTTCGACTTCGACTTCGACTTCCACTTGCAATTCGAGTTCGACTCGTGAGCGTCGATGCTCCGATGCTCTCAGCTTGGCGGCTTATCGTAGCTGAGTCTGTTGTTGGTTCTGTGCGGACAACTGTGACAGTGACTGCCCCTCTCCCACTCTCCCACTCTCCCGCTCTCTCTTTCTCTCACTTCCACTCTCCTCTCTCTTGCTCTGCCTCAGCTCATGCACTCCTTCCGCTGCTGCTTCGACTTTGCCTTGCCGAGCGCGTCGATGACGTCAGTGGTGCGAGCGACTTATCGTCGCGCCGTGGTGCGAACTATGCGAAAAAGAGAAATAAAGGCAGACATATAGTTATATACATACATATATGTATAGACATATACAAAGTGCATATTAAGTGCTTCATTGTGCTGCCAGCTGCCTTAAGTGAAGACTGACTAAATCGAAGGCTGGTTCAATGATATCCGCCTTAATGACGTTTTTATTATCATTTGACTAAAATATTGATATGCATTGCAAACCAATTTTATATTCTAAATACACTAGAATCCGGCTATAACGACCCTCAATGAACCGTCGTTATACCGAAAGGCGCTATAACCGTACAGACGCTATAAGCGGAGTCGTTATAACCGGATTCTACTGTAATGCATATTTAATTTACATTTCAGATATCGCAGATTTCGTTAGTAATCAAAAGTTTTACTGTGCCATATAGTATTTCTCTTAGTTTTCCCAAAAATGCTGATGCCTTTAAATAAAAGCTAAAAATTGTTAACAAACGGTTTCAGTTATGAAATCTATTAGCAATAGCAAATATATAACTCATATATAGAAAAAATAGTGCGACTCGGAACTAAATATATGTAGCAAAAAGCTTAGTGGTAAACCCAATATTAATAACTATATATGTTTACTTCAAATTAATATATTCAGTTACTCATTTAGTTTTTTGTTTAATGTAAAATTTAGTATATTGCACTACTATTTGCATAGCTCGACCTCCACTAGTGGTTCACTCTAGCTAGACATCACTGTTCGTTGCCTTACCTCTGCTCTCTGCTCCTCCGCCAAGTGCCAATTTCCGTTAGCTCTCATCCAGCTCGCATAACTTGCCCCACTGTGCGCTCTGTTCGCCTCTTACTCTTTCCCTGGCTCTTTCTCTGCTTCAGCTTCAGCTTCTGCTTCTGTTTCTGCTTCTTCGCTGTTGCTTGTGACCGCAAGCTCTGCCCGGTCCTTCGGTCGAATGCGCTGACCGTCCGTCGGCCCGTTAGTCCGTGCTGCTCTCCAGTTGGCGAAACTATGACGCAGTGGGATCAGGCAACATTTCCATTCACATGCAGCTCGGATTTCAGCGCGCTCTCCCACTCGAATCGAACTATTGAAATTCTTTTAGTGCTGTGTGCCGCCTTATCGGCAACGCTCGCTCGCCAGCGGCCCGATAAGATAAAAAAAAAATAAATACACACAATATATATAATAAAAACGCACCAAAACAAATGCTCAAATAAATCCAGCACACAGAGTTCTGCATGAGCAGAGCTGAGACGGCGACTGTGAGAGCGACAGCAAGGGCGACGGCGACGGCGACAGCGACGGCGACAGCGACAGCGACGGCGACGTTGATTGGGCGCCCGCAACAAATTGGCGATAAAGCGCTAAACAGTTGACTGCCTGCCGCCTGCTGGCGCCGTTCGCACTGTCCCTCCAGCCACCCTCGCCCCTTCTATCACCGTCCCTCTCTACCCCTCTGTCAATCTCTTCGCAATCGTCTCTTTGTCTCTCTATGGCATTGCACTATCCCTTCAGCCACCCTTGCCAACTCTATTAAGCTCCCTCTCTACAGTCCCTCCAGTCACCCCACCTCCCTATATCACCCTCCCATTCTGTTCCTCTCTCAATCTCTTCGCGATCGTCTCACTTTGGCATTGCATTATCCCTCCAGCCACCCTCGCCTACTCTTTTAACCTCCCACCCTCCCATTCGCCCCCTCTCTCAATCTACTCGCCACCATCGTCTATGGCACTGCCCCTCCAGTCACCCCACCTCCCCATATCACCCTCCCATTTTGTCCCACTCTTACACTGTCTCAATCTCTTCGCGATCGTCTCACTATGGCATTGCACTATCCCTTCAGCCACCCTCTCTCCCTCTATCGCCATCCCACTCATTCATTCTCTCTGTCTCTCATGCACTCACTGTCACTGTAGGCAGCGAGTAGCCCATATCCATTTGCACCCATATCAATGTTTACACTGGCAGCTAAGCAAAGCAACTGCCGCTCCACTGAGCAGCCACTCGGACTAGGCCAGAGTCGTCAGCTACTGCAACGGCTGCCAATCAATGGGTAAGGCATTAGGGTAACGGTAGGGCACTTCTATATGTTCATTCAATTTGAAACATTTAATGAGGACCTAACTTTTTCTAACTTTCCAATCTGCATAATGATGGGAAAGTTAAGTCGGCAAAAAAAAAAGCCAAAGTACACTCCAAGCGTAAATTAAAAATTAATAATAATAATAATAATAAAATTAATAATAATAAGAAAAGAATAATTATAATATGACAATAATATTATTGCTTGATAGATCTTATTTTGCATTGACGTAGTTTTTTTTTAATGATTCTTTTGGCTTTTCTTCAGACTCATCTAATCAGACAGGCCAACAAAATTACATGTTCTTTAAAAATTAATACAAATCATATCGAATTATCATACAGGCCTACAACTTTGCTCCGTCATAACTGATTAATAGTATTATAAATATATATAAAATAATAATGATAAAATATCATAATAATTATAATCTAGACTATGCAAATAATTCTATTAATTCTATTATAAACATACCATATACCATAAACAAGATATTTCATAAAAATACCTGATTTAGTTCTTCAATACTAATAGAAATTTCTTGTTTGTATAAAATGAAACTTTTGCTATTATTGTTTTAATTTTTAACATGTTAAAGTAGATAATACATATGAACAATATCTCTTCTAAAGCATCTTCGATTATATATTACATTATTTCTATATCTAACAGAGTGTATTATATTCGGCTATCGGCATATAATATATATATTTATATCTCTTTTCGTTTTTTGTGTTAGTGGAACGAATTGTCCCTGTCTTATCTGAGAACCTTTAAAAACTAATTTGATCAATTTGATCTTTTTTCCTAACCCTATTCCAAATATATGTGATAATTCGTTCTCTGACGACATACTTATATGCAGGCATTCTCTTTTTTTGTGGAATTTATATATTAGTCTTCTTTACCATAAAAGAGGATTGAAGTTTCTCCGATTTTGACATCTTAGAGAGAAATGGATTCTTCTTTATATGTAGATAGTGAAATTATACTTCGATTACTCTATATCTAAAAAAAAAAAAAAAATTAAACATTTAGTTAATCATAAAAAAAATTATAGACATGGAATACTCCCTAAGAGATTACGTTTCAATCAAGTCCGATGATCAGAGATTTAGTATACATTTATTCGGTTCTCCTTTGCCAATTTGTTTGGAATATTCTGAGGCTTTGTTGCCCGGCTTCTGCTTGGCTAGATTATGTACTTTCGTTTAGTGTGATTTCGGGTAACTGTATATTCCGGCGCATTGGACAAAGCAATGTAGCTCGTGCTACGGGTGTTTAATTAAGGACTTATTACTAAAATGAGATTTTTCGCTGGGCCGCCGACATCACTCAAAGATCATGAATGTGGTAAACCTTCGTTCTCATCCATCCCAGCTATAGCAGATGTTAGTCGCTGCGCCCATATTCTCGTTGGCCCATGCAACAGATGAAGGATAAGCCGCGATCGTAAAGCCGTTCACTCTGTTCAGCATCTTCCCGCAGAGGATTGAAAAATTCTGCTCATGGAAAGACTTGAAGCTTGATCTTTATACATAGTTTTTGCTTGGCGTAGATATGGGGAATGTAATAGACTTTTCCGTTGCAGCTGTGTGGGCTGCAGTTGTTCCTTCAGCTGAAGCTAAAGCTCGCTGCTCCAGGTCATCTGTTGCTCAATTGGCGATATCATATAGAGCCCATCTGGCTGAAACGAATTGTAAAAACAACCTTAAGATTAGAATTTGAAAACAAAATATGACTTACCGGCTGCTCGCTGTCATTGCTGCTCCAACTACAGCAGCCTGGCAATCCACGATCCGCAATTTGCAGCTCTGCATCGTTCCAGTGAAGCTGTCATTGCAGCGCGTTCAGACTTTTCTCAGCTTACTGGCCTGCTCCACTTGCTCATTTGTTCGCGATTCATTGGCAAGTAAACAATAATGCAGTAGCGTTTATTTAGTAGCGACATTTAATAATTACAGAAAATCTGCGCTTCTTTTAAAATACGTATTCGCAATATTTACGATTAAAATTCGACAACAGCCCAACACACAGACTTATCGATGTATCGCTTAAAAGTATGCTACACTCAGTCTTCATTTGTATAGTAATGATTTAGTGTTTTCAAACACTACTCGACAAATAGCCGCGCCTATTTGCATTTCCATTTAAACTGAAATCTTCATAACTGCTACTTAAGACAACGCAGACAAAGTTAAATATTTGTATATATTTGTATATGTATATATATTGTATAACTGTGCACACTGCCTAAATATTGCTATTGACTGTCAATCTGTAATGCATTTTCATTCAATCCAAAGCTCTTGGACTTCAAAATTGCCATATCATGCTAATTAAACATTTCGTTGTTGGTTTTATGTTTACTTTTACAGCATTCGCCTGAAAGTTATAGAAATTTAACTGTATAGCACAGCTGACGTCGACTTTATCTCTTTCACACGCGCTTTGGCGACTTTCGTGCGCAAGGGTCTTCGCTGTGGGTCAACTATGCACACAAACAAAATTATTTCTGTACATGTATATGTGTGCGCGCATATGTTGGATGCGTCGTTGTTGGAGGCGTTGACAGCGACGCGACGTTTTCGGCGCTGACCGTTGCGGTCACCTGTTACTTTCACTGCGTCAAGCGCAGCTGCGAACACGTTTTCTGTGTTTGTCCATTGGCCAAACAATGCAAAGTTATGAAAATTACAAAAAACGCGGCGACAGGGCAGCCGAATTGTTTTTTCTGCTCTTCATTTAATTTTTTTTCTTGCCTTACCAATAATCGCATAAATTAGCGATTCTTTCGGCAATCGCCAGCGGAAGTCTTTTCACTTAGCTCTCACTTTCATTATCGTTGCCTTTGCCATTGTTGTTGCTGTTGCTGTCAAATATTTAATAATTTGTGCTAAAATGTGAATTAAATGCCCCCATCGCATACATAATAACCTAGTGGCAACGACAACAACAAGCCAAAAGTGGCAGCAATCGCAACAACAACAATAACAGCAGCAGCAAAGTTGACGCTGTGGAATGCAAACGGCATGCGAAAAGAAAACGAAATAGTGGACAAATTGACTGACTGACAAGCAGGCAGCGACATGTTTAAGCTAGCCTAACTACAGCAACAACAACAATGGCAGAGACAATAATCAAGAATTGCCTATCCTGGTATTTGGTCACACAAACGCACACATTGAACAGTCGTCGTGCTGTCGACGTCGACGTCCACATCGACGTTGAGAGCGCGCCCAAAAATGCAATTGAGAAAAAAAAACCCACGCAATAACAAAAACCCAAAATAGAAGACAACTACAAAACTGATGAAAACAACAACGAAACGGCATGCCAATGCCAAGACAACACACACACACACATACATCGCACTCATACAAACCCATACCACTTGCTGTGCTGTTGTTTACCTGCGCCGAATGGCAGCGACGTTGGCGTCAACAGCGCAGTCGCAGCATCATTCCAATGCACACAGCTGCAGCGCATTGCATTATTTGGCAGCACACTGAAAACAAATATTAACATGTTCATATGTATGTACACAAATCTTCATAGACATTTAGGAAAGTATTATCAGCTTATTTTAAATTGTACATATGTACATATATTTAATATATGTATGTAGGTACATACGTATTTTATACATAAATTATTAAAGTTTAAATATGAGGCAAGATTTATGTATGTATATTGTAAAAAAAAAACACATTGAGACAATTTAACAGACACAAAACAAAATTTTTAAATTTTAATATTGCTTATATTATACATTCATATGTATGTATGCATATATGTATGTACATTATATTTCGAAATAATTAACTTAAATGTTTTGAAAGGAAAAAAAAAACGAATAATATAACATAAAATACATAGACAACTTAATATATGTATTTTTCTTTAATTAGACAAACTTGTATATCGTAAAAAACAGTAGTTAACATTCATATGTACATGCATAAATAAAATAAAATCACAAATTTTCAAACGTCTTGGACTTTTGATTTGTTTCACTTTATATAATTTAAAAATTTTTATACCTTAAATATTAACCATCATGTAAAATTACATTGATTTAACTTAACAATTTAATATATGTATGTACATACATACATATGTATGTATATGTATATTTTTTTCAGTGTATTCCTTGCCCCAGCCCCTGGTTCCTGTCAACGTCTTCAGCATGCCAAGCAGCAGCAAGTACAAGAAAAAATCAACAGGCTGTTACAAAAACAGCCACGCAAAACACACACAAGTCCAAAAACACAAACAGAAATAAAAACAAAAACAACAAGAGCGATCGCTGAAGCTGTGTTGTTTTTGTTTTTACGATTTTCTTCTCGCTTGTATTGCTGTTGTTGCTGGTCTTATCCAGCAGGTAGACGCGCCGGGTCGGTTGCATTTCAGCGTTGCTGCCGCCGTCTCTGCTTCAGCGTACGTCACCGTCGCCGTCGCCGTCGTCATCGTCGTCTGTTTCGTTTTAGAGCTAGGCTGTTGAAACTTGGCTCAGAGTTTTGGCGTTCAGTCCGCTGGCGAACGTTGTCTTGAGCGCAGTTTGCCGTTGTCGTGTTAGTCGCATTAGTCAACGTCTCAACGTGCGCGTGTGCGTGTGTGTGTTTGTGTTTGTGCCTGAGCTGTGCGTGTGTCGGTTACTGTGCCTGTGTTACTTGGCTGGTCCGTTCCCGTTTGTAAATTATTATACACGTTGATTTTGTTTTTTTGAGTTCTTTTTTTTCTGTGCCGCAGCAGCACAAACTGGTTGCTGCCATAAGAAGCAGAAGCTAGCTGCGAACGTAAGAGCTAGCATCAGCAGCAATAATAACAACAACAATCGCAGTAGTAACAATAACAATAGAAGAACCGTATTTTTTGTTAGTCGTTCGGAAAAACGTCGCAAAAAAAAAAAGATTCGTCTAGCGGCAGCAAAAAGGAGCACAAAAACAGTAACAGTAACAGCAGCCGCAGCAGCAGCAACAACAACTAACAGTAGCAAGCGCTTTAACAGTAGCTGTCGCCAGTATCTCTACACAGAGCTAATTGAAAAAAGATGCCCTGCTCAGCCGTGACGCTATCGATAGCGACAATCTGTGCGATTATCGCCACAGCGCTGCTCGCGATCGCCTTCTCCACAGACAATTGGCTGCACTATGACGTCAGACGCAATCAGATACAGGTTAGTGTAAAAAGCGTTAACAAAACGATGGCAGACGCAGCTCTCATATCATTTCCCATATCTCTATCTACCATCTTCGCATGCAAACAAAGCATATGATGTATGTGTGTGTGTGTGTGAGTGCCCGTCTGTTTGTATATGCATCTGACACCCCCGCAAACTCGACAAACAATAGGCTCAAATCGAGCCAAGGCCTTGTCATAGAAATAACACACAAAAATAAAAACATGCACAGGTCACAATCAAAGTAGAAGCCGAAGCCCAAATAGTAACCGAAGAAGAGCCGAAGTCACAATGCAAGTTGAGATTAAGGCACAGTGGGTAGGCACTTGAGGAATATATAGACAAATATCCAGATGGTAACAAAATGTGCTCAGAACATGATATTTACTATATTTACATTTTGGTACAGCTAGGAACACGAAATAAAAAAGATATGGAAGTATTTGTTTGTTTTCCGTTTCCAAGAGCTTTAAACTCTTAGTTCAGTAACGTCAAGTCAAGCCCAATGAAATATAATTAATTAGTACTTGAAGTCAAGATTAAATATGTATATAAATTTAATTAAAAGTCAAATTTAAGCTAGATCTAATTTAAATAAATTAAATATCCATTTTATTAAATATATAAATAGGTTATTTTAAACAATAATTAAATGAAAAGAATCCCATATATTAAGTTAGAATTATAGGAACAAAAACATATGTATTTCAATTCAACTTTTTCTAGTTCTTATGATTGTGTACCACTGTACCTGTGTCTCTGCAACGGTTAACGTTGGCAGCGACACCAGCAGCGGCATCGTTAACAGTAACAGACGCGCGTGTTGTTGCTTAGCGAGCACAAGAAGAAGAAATAAGGGCATGGCGCAGCGTGTGAGGCATATGAAAAGAAGAAAGGTCGAAAGCGAACAGCAGCAACAGGCAGGCTGGCAGCGACGCGTCGCAACGCAACGGCAGCGCGCATGATCAAAGTGGCGGCCAAGCGGCTGGCTGGGCGGTTGGTTTGCCCGTTAACGCTAAAACTTTCTACGCGAGCGCTTAGCCAAGCCAAGCGACACGACTACTGTGGATAAACAACAGGGATGGGGGAGGCAGCAATGAAAAAGACGATAAAGGAGACGAAGAAGCAGCAGCAGCAGCAGCAGTAATTTCTCATTTTGCATGTAATACACGCGAAGAGCAACAACAAATGGGGCGGGCTTGTAGGTGCAGCTTAGGCAGAGCGCAGAGAGACAATGAGCAAGAGAGAGCGTCAAAACTGTATATTAGTGTATGCCTGTGTGTTTGTGCGCGCATAGTTCGCATACCAAAACAAGCTAATGGCAGCGTGTGCTGAAAATATTTGCACGTTTTTAACATTGGCGCTAGACGACGACGATTGGCTTTGCTTGCGCTCGCTTAAAGGTTAATCCTAACAGTGCGACCAGCTTGCCAAAAGCTATATGCAAAGCCAATGCAGTAGAGTGAGATGGAAATACAATGAATGCAGAATGACTTAGGAAGAGTGCAGAGATGAAGTTACTCTCTGATCATGTGTTTGCGAGTATGTGTGTGTTTGTTTATGTGTATGCATGCATGTATTGCTGCATTTATAAAGCCATTAGAACAAGGTAATAATAACCTTTTTGAGTTTTTTTCCCCCTTTTTTTTTGGGCTGTGCGTCTAGTGGCAGCAATTGGTAATGCTGTGCTGTTGCATTTTAATTGGCCCATAGCAAATTGATTGTAATGCCCCCAAAATACATACATACATACATACACACATAAATAGGTTGGCTAGAGGCAACTCTCTGCGGCATTACATTTCAACGGCTGGCAGCTAGCGTGTCTAATGCTTTCTAATTAGCTGGACAGCAGAGTAATGCATAGCCAGCGCATAAGCAGGGCTGTTCACATTAATTACAGAACAGAAGTTTTTCAGTTTTCTTTTGTTTTTCTTGTTTTTTTTTTTTTTTTTCTTTCGTTAACTCTCATTATCTTCTTAATTTTTCAATTCTTTGAAGTATCTTGACGACTTA